GTTTTATTAGGAATAATAAATAGAAAAGAAAGTCTGGGAAATTTCAGAGCAATTTCTTGAAAGAGTGGCCTAAATAAATTATTTTACCTTCATCAAAAGGTTACTATGTCTAAGATGTTTGGTAGAACTTTGGCATGCATAAAATCAGGGGCCTGTTGCCTTCAACTAAAAACACTCTCAATTCTTGACAAGTAACTCTAGGACAACTGAAAATGTCAGTTAAGCTGAGAATTAAAGTAAAGGAATAATTCTTTTTTAAATAGAGCATCTTCAGCTTCATCTTTTCTCAGCCTTAATTATAAAAATGATACACCACGCAAAAGCCAAATAAAGGTTTAGACTCTTATCCCAGTCATTTTTCATTTTTTATTGTATTTGGTTATCTTACATCTGCCCAAATTACAAACCTTCCAAAAAAATTCAAGTAATACAAGGGAGAGAGTTAAACAAATCTGATGGTTCTCCTATAACCTTATAATGTAGTCATCCTGGAAACTATACTACCTGCTTAGTTTCCTATGGCAGCTGTAACAAATTACCACAAATCTGAAGGTTCAAAATACTGAAAATTCATTCTCTCAGTTCTAGAGGCCAGAAGTCCCAAATCAGTTTTCTGGGCCAAAATCAAGGAGTGGTTGGGACTGCTTGCTCTCTCCCTCTCTCCCTCTCTCTCTCTCTCCTCTCTCTCCTCTCTCCCCTGTTGGGGAGAACCACTACCTGACTCTTATACCTTCTGATCACCCATTTCTACCTCTGTAGCCACACAATGATACATGTATGTGCACTTAGAACCCAAGCTGACACCCAGACTAATTTACATATGTTTTAAATCTTTAATCATGTATGCAGAGTCCATTTTGCCATATCATGTAACATTTACAGGTTCCCAGGATCCAAGAGTGGATATCTTTTGGAAAGTCATTACTCAATTTACTACACCTGCCTCAAAATAAACTCAAAGCAATTAGCAAGGATGTACTAATCTCATCAAGCCTCCTTTGTTTTCAACTTTAAATTCCCACTTCAGTAAACAAAAGGTCTCCAACCTTATACCTCTTTCCACCTTACAACCTGCATATAACCAGGAAATCACTAACTATTCATTAAAGGCATTATGACAGGTGTGATGGCGCACACCTGTAATTCCAGCAACTCAGGACGCTGCAGTTGGAGGATTGTAAGTTGGAGGCTAGCCTTGGCAACTTAGAAAAATTTCATCTCGAAATTAAAATAAAAGAAAAAAAAATCTGGGATGTTGCTCAGTGGTAGAGCACCTGTGAATTCAATCCCAGGTACTACCAAAAAAAAAAAAAAAAAAACAAGGCATCACTAATTATTGTTAATGGTTCTCTTAAATGAGACAATCAGTGAAGATTAAAATTCACAGCAACTATAAAGAGTAATACAGGGCAGTGATTAAGGATCAAAGCTATGTGACCTTAGGCAGTCTCTTCATATGATAAACATAGATAATATAAAATTTATAAGTCATGGACTTGGACTGAGCACCTGTACTGAGGCTGACAGACCAAACCAATATCATTTAGTCACAGTAACTTGAGTTTGGCAAGCTGAAGAAGGCCAGCCAGCCAGTTAACTAATTAGGCTATAACCAACTGTTAAGCTTTAACCAAATGACCACTTTGATTGACTAAGCTGTCATCAATTAAATTGTTTTCTATGACCTCACTATTTTCCTATAAATTCTGTCTAATCACAACATTGGAGTTCTCAGAACTGCCTCTAGTTCTAGGAACTGTCCAATTTGCAAATCATTCTTATTTTGCTTTGCTCAAATAAAGAGGCAGGCAAACCAAAACAGCTACTTAGGAGGCATCCTTAAAATTGGTATATTAGCCTTAGGCCAGAAAATCAGGTAAAGCTGAGCAAAGACCTCCAGCCCTTCTTAAGAATCCCAGTGCTGGGGCTGGGGCTGGGGTTGTGGCTCAGCGGTAGAGCACTTGCCTGGCATGCACTAAGGCCCTGGTTCAATCCTCAACACCCACATAAAAATAAACAAACAAACAAAATAAAGGTATTGTGTCTAACCAAAAAATAAATATTTTTTAAAAAAAGGATCCCAGTTCAAAAAAATGATCCAAAATTGTCAGTCTGATCAGGTTCCTGGTAGAAACATTCTAAATATCTCCATAGAAAAGCAATCCCAGGGGCCTTGGTTCAGTGGTACAGCACTCACTATAAGTATAAGGTTCTAGATTTGGTTCCCCCAAAAGCAAGCCATTAAGAAAGAAAATTGTCTTGTTTAAGCCTCCTGGAATCCTACAGGTTAAGATAAAGCAATGAAATGAACTTACAAAGATCAACAGGAGCTAGCCACCATGAGGCCAAGCCAAAGACTGCACATACCAGAACAATTATATAAAGACTAGTAACAGACAAGTAAAATGTTTTAAGGGAGGGGGGTCTAAAAAAAAGGGGGACCACTCAGGCAGAATTGAAAAGGAAGTAGATCTAATGTGGTGATCACAACTGATGATGGAATTTCAAAGATCACATGAGTACAAATTACTTCTAAATATGAAATCACAATTCAAATCAAATCCCATCCACACAGTATTTTTGATATGTTTATTCATTTTAGAGCAAAAAAGTAAAGGTGCAGGACAGGCTGAATAAGTTGTCTGCAGGGCATGCCAAACAAAGTTAGCTGCAGGGTTACCTGGCCACTCAAACCCTAGGTCTGGTTCTTTATCACCTGTTTGCTTCAAGCCCAAAGGCCTAAGCCCCCACTCAAGGCTGAATGCTTCGCCCCCCTGATCAAGACTGAACACTCAACCTGCCGCTCAAGGCTGAACACTTAACCCCCTTGTGTGCCAAGAAGGCAGCTTGCAGACCCAGAGACCCCATTAGATTTGGGCTATAAAAACTCCCTTCCTCCAGGCCTCTCTCTCTCCCTTGCTCTTGCTCTCTCTTGTTCTTGCTCTGTCTCTCTTGCGCGCGCACTCTCTCTTTCTCTTTCTCTCTCTCTTTTCTCCTCTGTTGCACTGCTGCAATAAAGATCTACTGGTCGCTCCGAGTGTTGTGGTCACTTTCCTTTCATATTAGATTTTAGATGTCATTCCATCACGCTTTTAACAAATGGTGTGATGCAAAAGGAAATATGGCACACCTAAGCAATGAAAAACATAGAAACTAGAACCCAAATCACAGGATATAGACTTTGATGACACTAAACATAAATATTGATTTGGGTTCTGTTTTCACAACCTCTTTGCTGGGAATTAGGGAAAATAATAACTCCCATGTTCCATATGAGCCACTGGAGTCAAGACAAAACAGAACGATTTTTTTTTTTTTTTTTAAATCAGGGATTGAATCCAGGGGCCCTTAACCACTAAGTGACATCCCCATCCCTTTTTATCTTTCTGAGACAGGATCTCCCTAAATTGCTTGGGACCTTGCCAAATTGTTGAGGTTCACTTTGAACTTGGGAAACTCGTGCCTCAGTCTCCCAAGCACTGAGATAGGCATGTGCCACCATGCCAAGCTAGAATGAAATTATTAACCCAGGAGTAGATTATAAAAGGAAGTCATTATTCCAGTGGATTTTTCTCATATTGGGCAGAATCTTTCACCACCAAATTAACTCTCTCCTATTCTTCAAATCTGTCAAGAAAACAATGATCAAGTACAGGCTTGGTCATTTTGATACTTAATTTAGTATAATTAATTCCTATTGTTCCTCATTTTCAGTATGCTGATGTATCTCATAGCCATGCTCAGTTGATTTTGGTTTGTAGGAATGAAGATTGAACACAGGGCCATGCACATGATGGGCAAGCAATCTTCCACTGAACTACATCCCCAACCCTTTTTATTTTGAGACATAGTCCTGCTAAATTGCCCAGGTTGGCCTAGAACTGGTGATTCGCCTTCTTCAGCCTCCATAGGAGCTAGGATTACAGGGTTGTGTCTAAGGGAAGGCTCAACTCTTCCTTATTTTTTTAAATATTTTTTAGTTGTTGATGGACCTTTATTTTATTTACTTATTTATATGTGGTGCAGAGAATCTAACCCAGTGCCCCACACTCTACTGCTATGCCAGACTCTAGCCCCTCAACTATTATTTTTAATGATTTTTTTCTATATTTAACTAAATGTCATATTGAGCAACTGGTTCACAAGCCACTATTCCCTTAATTTGTGAATCATGAGGCAAATTACTCAAGTTTTACTTGTCTACAAATCGCAAATGCTGTGCTATCACTATATTAAAAAATATTTTTCACTACTCTTAAGTCAATGAAGAGGTTAATATTACATTTCAATTTGGTTGGGCCCGACCCACATCTATCAAGCTTCTAGGAGTTACTTACACACACACACACAACCAAATGAATCACTAGTCTTTCACTAGCTAAGACAAAACTTTCAAGGTGCTAATCATGACAGTTCCCTTGAGTGTTGAAGTGAGTAAGTAAAGCAAATCAGAAGAGCAAGTTTCAAATACTTAGACTTCTTTCCAAACCAAACATTCTTTAGCAGTGACTACATGGCCCGCCAAGTTTTAAAATGGGCTGTTTCAACTTGGAAAAATGTATCTACCTTAAAAAGCTCTTATTGAATTAAAAATTAAGCAGAAAAATAAATACTATCACCTAAAAGTTCACTTTCTGTCTTATACCCTCTTACTCTAAGGAAAAGAGAGAAGTTCGATTTTTTTAAAAACGCAATGTTCACGTAGATGACGTCAACACATACACATTTGAACTGCTTTACAGGTCGGCCTTAAGAAATGTGGGCCAGCACAACAATCAGTGCATTTGTACAATTATCCTAATAGAATTGGACCCATCGTGGTCGATCTATGAAGATTAGCAGCTCTAGATATTTAGAACAAAATTTAGTCCCCAGTCTCGGTGTGCCCAACCTGGCTGTCAGCCACGTCTAAATTTAATGGGCTCCAAGGATTCGAGGACCGGTTCACATCACCTGGGTGAGGCGAGAGCAGCCGCATCCCAGCAGTAGGCGATACTTACAAATTTGGGGCGTTTCTCCCCAGGTTCCTCTGGCCCGCGAGGCAACGGAGGGTGTTGGGGGCCTTTCTTGCGCTGAATCTTGCTCTCCCGGCAGCTGCGGAGCAAGGCGGAGGAGGGATAGGGGGCCCCGGCGGCGGAGCCATAGGCTGGGTGGTGCAGCCGCGGCCGGTGCCGCTCCATCTTTCCCCACAGCACCCGGACCAAGAGAAGGCAATCCTTCACCAAGCACAGTCGGGGATCAAGGATCAGGGTGGGTTCGCCTTCCCGGTTCCGCCGCCCACGCCGTTGACCCAGCCCAGCCCAACCGCTACAGCACAGGCCCGGGCCAACACATCCGAAATCTCCCGCCACCTAGGGTCCGCCTTAGATTCGCCAATCCCGCGCCGCTGGTTCAATTACACGTCATAACCCCGCCCCTTCCGGGACTGTCATAAGGTGATTGGCTGTTCTGCCTGTCTATTCCGCTACTCTACTCCTCCAGCAGTCCTCGCTGTGCAACTTAAAGGCACAGAATGAGTTCGGATTTGTAGACCCCAGGCAGAACCCATGAGAAAGTCACTTTCCTCTTCTTGGAATTTGGAGAAACCGCTTCTCGCCAAACTGGAAGGCGATCGAAACTGACTGTGTGCCTTTGGAACACTGATGGAATGCAAAATTATTTACTAGCCTCTTACATGTCTCCGGAGGCTTCCGTGGGTTGGCCACAGAAAAGTGCTGGACACTCTGGGAAAGAATGTATGCTGGACACACTTAGCGCCCGCACAGTGCCTAAATAATGCCTGTTGGCTCTGGGTTAGGAGAGGGCGCCACCAAAAATTAGCCTGATTGGACACAAACCTTTACACAAATAACGGTTATAGTAGTTCTCTAATTTATTGAGAACACAGAGGAGA